GCCAATTTGCGATTCTAACCTAACTAATATCATCAATTAAATTCATAAATAGTTCTGTGATATCTAACTGCAAATAGATTATTTTGTCCAGTATTCCTGACAGGTATATGACAATGAGGAAGTTGCATAAAATTTTATTTTGATGCAAAATGTATTTAAAGTGAAGCAAAGTACTCTAGAAGTATATTTCCATATTCCATACAGTCCGATAAAATATTTGTTTCCTCAGATCGTTTACCTGATGACCTTGCTCCAAAATGGTCATTTATACATGGTCGGTTGAAATGTCCACATAGTTAAATATCAACATCTGTTTCCTGGTAGTAGTTGTCGCGAAGGCAGTTCACAGATCTAGAGTAGTTCTCATATTTTTCAATCAGGACCCATTGAGTTTGCAGTGCTGATGAAGTTTGTTTCTGCAGAGCATTATTGGCTATGTTCCGATATCAACTGCCAGTACTGGATTTACTGTGCTGATTTTACTGTCATTTGCCGTTCCGATTTCAACAGCGTACTTTTGTGGTCCTTCAGTACTGAATCGACTGAATCCAGTGTAATATCGGAACGGCGTCCAGTAAATTCAGTACTGACAGTTGATATCGGAACATAGGCATTGCAGGTTCTACCCACTTGGCACAGTGTGAATTGGAACTGATGTTTCCCTGCTTTTCATTGTTTGTGGTATTTACCTTCTGCAGGGATATGTTTGCAGCAGATTCTAGTCCCACAATTTGTTGCGGCTGTGGCGGGATGACAGGTCGCTCATTTTGAGATAAGTTTGAAGTCGGTGTTTCATCCTTTGCAGACTTTTGCTCAACAATGACTTTTTGCAATTCCATATTTGATTGTATTATGTTGCTAGCAGTTTCACTAAGCTTATTGCACATAGTTGCCATGGCGTCTCCAATATGCTCCATTGTAGCTTTTGTGATTTTTTCAACCATTTTTTCACAAATACTGAGACTACCAACCTTATTTTCATCATTCCCTAATTCAGCTATAGTGTTGTTGCTTTTTCAGTTTTTCATTTTCATCAGCGAGACGGGTTATCATTTCATCGCGTTGACAACGATCCATTTCAACTTCATGGCATTTTGAACTGCATATTATAATGCGATCTTTAATCTTTTGTGATTGTTTAACGAGGCAACTCGGATGAAATGTCTCCAAGCAGATTTTACAAATGTAAAGCCTTATTACTTTAGTAGAGTGGCATCTTAGTGTCTTAAGCGCCAACTCTGGTTTTGGTTTTATTACGTTTCAACAATTATTCAAATGTGTAGGAAGCTGTAAGAGGTACCACTATACAAAAAATCAAATTTTTATGTTTACTAAAACCAAAAACTTTGATATTTACCCGATCAAACAAACAAATACTATAGTAAAAATACATTATTTATAAATATAAAACTCTATAGGGTCTTCTCGTCTTTTACTAAAATTTAAGCTTTTTAACTTAAAAATAAAATTCTATAACATTTTTATAGAGACAGCTATTTTCTCATTCAACCTTTCATTCCAGCTTTCAATTAAAAAACTATGACGACAGACATATACAAATACAATAAAGCCCTATAAGAATACAACAAAGAATTCAAACAATATTGAGCTTCAGAGATTTGATAGTAGCTATACCAAAAGTAGACTAGATAGTGTAGAACTGCTTCTGTAAACAGACTTCCCAGAGTCTATCGAGTGGAAACCTGATCGGAAAGGTCTAGGCAGAAGGATATTCACTGAAAATAAAATCAAATGGGCTATAAACAACTTCCAGCTCTACAAATTACGGGTAAATCAACTGGGACATCCCTACACAGTCTTATCACTAAGATTGAATAGGCACATTCTAATCAAGAAACCGCTTTATATGCATTCATTTATATAGAGAGAGCCTTCTATTAAACCTCACATGAATCCATAAGAAGAGCAGCTAGAAATAGGGAAGTGACTCTGCAACGGTCTCAGCAGACGCGGAATGCCCGTAAGGGGGGTGGGGGTATTGTCCCCACTGTTGTGGTCACTAGTAGTAGATGAAGTTCTCAGCGCGCTAAGCGGTAGGGGTAAACATGATAAGTGACCTCATGCAAGATGCCCTAAATGTCATTATCAGATGGTGTCTACAGGAGGGTTAACCCCAACAAAACCATAATTGTATCTTTTACAAGGAAAAGGAGGCTAAATCAAAAGAGTAACCGACCAAGCAATAGCCAAATACTGGACATGCCGGAGATTATTCAGTGAGATTTGGAGACTAAAGCCAAAAATGATCTATTGGTTATTTATAATGGGTATAGGACCCATGATCACCTACACTGCGAGTGTGTGGTGGCCAAAAGTAAAACAACAGACAGCACAAAACCGATTGGCAACTGTACAAAGGTATACATGTCTTGGAATTACAGGAGCAATGAACACCTATCCAACTGCCGCAATGGAGGTCATGTTGGGCCTCCCCTAATTAGGTATAACAGAGAAAAAAGAGGCCTACATGGGAGCCTCAAAAATAAGACAATCCCTAAAACTAGGGAAGGGGACTTTGTCGGTCACATGATCATGATGAAAAAATGCATAAGTGTGAGTACAAAACCAGTTGACCACATGCAACAGAGGTACGAATTTGAACACTCCTTCACAATGACAATCAGGGCTGCAAGGGAGAAAATATCGTACCTGTATTCCCGAAGGGATTATCTGTCTGGTATACAGACGGATCAAAAGAGAGCAAGGGACTGGAGCAGGGTTATACGGCCCACTTTGTAGGCTATCAACAGCTAGGGTTGCCAGATTTACGAGAGGGAAAAGCGTGGCAACGACGGGAGTGAGGAGGGGAATTATTTAATTTTTTTATTAGTTCTATTCTATTCCACGCACAAGGAATTTGGGCACCTTCAGTGGGGGTCTATACAATGGTTATAGATCTAGTGCAGTTTTCTTTATTTCTGTCTTTTTCTTGTGGTCGGTTGCAGATTGTTGTTTTTGGCGATTTTTCCTGCTTTTTCTGAGATATTTTTATCAGAACGGTGTTTTAAAAGATTTATTTTTGTTATTTCTGCTTATTTTTGGAGTTATGAGTTATTCATGACCTATTTTTCTAACACTTGTTTTGACAAGTGATAAAAATGGCGGTCCTTCAAATTCGGCCAGTTGCGCAGGATGGACCCTTATTCTATTCTAACCAACAACTCTCCCATATCCCTGGTTTGACCACATTTACCCTTATGCAAGGTTTCGTCGTTTTTGAGATATCAGCAATTTTAGATATTTTTGAATTGTTCCTTAAACACCCTGTATATTAAGGTCTGAGGCAAGTCTATTTTTAACTAATATAGTTATTTATGCAACAAGTGTGTAAAGTGAATCTTTTTTCACGAATGTGAATTTTGACAATCACATGAGTGAAAAAAGGTGCTTTACGCACGTATTGCATATAAAAAATTTTCTACTACCAATCAAATAAGTGCAAAAAAACTGATTTAGACAAATACTTCACGCACTAGTGCGTGAAGTATTTTCACTTTACGCACTAGTGCATAAAGTAATTTGCAAGAAAAATACTAAATTGACAGTGTTGACATCTGTCAATGACATTACTTTACGCACTAGTGTGTGAAGTGAATTACTTTACGCACTAGTGCGTGAAGTGAAACTTTACGTCTTCTGAATAGTGCGTAAAGTGAGTACTTTACGCACGGTAGTAGAAAAAATATTTTTTTTAGAAAGCGTTTACATGAAATTATTATGAAAAAGCGTTGTCACGCGCATACTCAGGCGTGATGTGTGACAACCATTAAAAATTGTGACAATCACGCCTAATGCGTGACGTCTGGCAACCCTATCAACAGTTAGGAGAAAGCCCAACCATATTTCAAGCGGAAATATTCGCAATAGAACTTGAAATCTACATCAATTCCGACATTCAGGCAGCACTAAGACCTCTAAGCAGCTCTGTCACAAAATCCAGACTTTTATGGGACTGCCAACAACTCCTAAAGCAGCTGGCGTCCCGCAACAGGGTCACCCTGACATGGTTACCAGGGCACCAAGGAATCGAGGGGAATGAAATTGCGGACCAACTTGCAAGATAAGGAGCTGAACGTTTCTTTTGTATTATATGACAAGCCATATAATAGGGGAAGTTCAAAATTGGATAAAGGCTCAACAAGACTCCCGCTGGAACAAGCTTCTAGGACTAAGGCAGGCGAAGCAACTCATCTCGCCTCAGTCAATAAAGGCAAAATAACTGATTGACCTGATTTAAGGCTTCTAACAGGCCTCCTTACGGGTCACTGCCCTCTGGGTTCCACCTGAAAAAAAATGCTTCTGTGAAAAAGACTCTGAGTCTGCGGAACACATACTTTGCAATTGCGAGACATTGTGCCGCAGAAGACTCATCCATCTGGAGCAGCCATATTTAAGGGCTACGGATGTGAGAAATGCCAATCCCAGGAGCATTATCGGCTTTGCTAAAAGCCTTAATCTGGAAATCTACTAGATATTAGGGGAAGCACAATAGATCTAAGCAGATCGCAGTGCGGAGAGGTGCCTAACCTAAACATCCCACCATAACAATCTACAACTTTTTTGTTTCTGGTTCAATTACTTTCCAAGTATGTACAGAAAAAGTTACATTTAACTGCTTTCTTTGTTTTCTCCAAAAAAAAGGGAAAGTCAAAATTGAGGCCCTGTTGAGTTCTGGTTGGCGGACCCTGTACTCTGAACCAACAGGTACCAACTCAGATGACATGCGAGATATTTTTAGAATATTTCAGCCCCAAATTATAATGCACTACAACAGTCTCATTATTCTTTAGAAAAATGAAATCAACTATTAAAAAAAGACTCAGTTACCCTAGCAAACCATGGGTACTTACCCTTGGAAAATATCTATCAAGGTACTGCATGAAAGAAATAAAATTAGTTCAATATTTGAAAAATCTTCGCCATAATAATACAAAGGTAAAAAATATTCTTTTACCAAAATTAAAAATATCAAAACATACCGCATTGAAATCAATACTCGTCTGAAGTTTTTGAACTTTGTCTTGCAGCTTATGGCACCCATCAATATAACTAGAACATGAATTGAGCGTACTGATCAGGTCCTTTTTCACTTTTCTAATAGCTGAAATTATAGAGTAAAATCAGGTTTTGGGAAGTTAAACTCCTCAAATTTTTTACCATCATTAAGTTGTGATGCATAAACTCGCAATCTATTAGTGCCTGTCTTCAAGGAAGTCATAGTCTCCCTAACTTCCGGCAGCTGATTAGCGAATTCATATATTTTTGATACAGTAGTTGCGTTGACGTATTCTTTCAGTTGTTCCATAGCAATCACTGATCCATCTATAGAAACATAAACAATATAGACCATTGTACTATAAGAAGTTACACATGTAAGTAGTTGACTTTGCATAAGCAAACACTTTCATCTGCCAACTACAATTGACTCCTAGGTATACGTAGTTTTTTTTTACTTTAAGAATGTTGAAAATGATACATTGACACATTAGCAAAATTTGAATAATTCAAAGCTTTTAGACTGTAAGTGCTGTTCCTACATTATTCAAACTACTAAAAAATATGTTTTATTGTAAGTCTCACTTTCAATAACATTAACGAATGCATCAGAGAATTCATGATAATTTTTCTGCAACAAATTGTGAATTTCTGCATTTGTCGTGTCCATAAACGTTTTGGTATCCTTCACACTGTAATGCATATTTTTAGGAAACGTTTCCAGACCATCATGAAGCTGTTGGTTGCTTCCAAAAGCACACACAATACAGAATCTAGAAAAAAAATATATATATTATATTTGTACAAAAATTCAGCTAAAGACTTACAGTAAACCTGTCCCGCATATAATCAACAATGTGGCATGGACCACTTTCTTGCAAGTGTCTTTGTTTTTGTCCGATGGTTGAGGTTTGCCACCACAATTTCCGCAGCAGCGGCAACAGCAAAAGCACAAACCGCATAATGGAAATAGTACCACGCACAGTACTAGAAACAGTAATATCGATACTAGCGCCGCATAGTATTTGAACAGTTCGGGTATTTCTGGGTTTTGAACTTCGATTTGATTGTTACGATTCAACGAAACTACACCTGAAACAATAAAATGTTTATTAATTTGTTGTAATTAATTTATAAAATTGCTAAATATTCATATTATTATCATTATAATCAATTCCCAGTTTTGGTGGAAAATTACTTTAAGAAAACAAATCCAATATAAGCTTCATAATGTACCAGTAAATATAACCAAAAATAGAAATCATTAACATCCTCACCTAATAATCTGAATAATGTAAAATCGAAGGCCCCCCTAGAGTGAAGTAGGTTAGTTACAAATTCCACTTAGAATCTAGTAACGGCCTATCTGTCCAATATTGTGTAAACATTAAATGCAGAACAAATAACAGCCGTTTTGGCTGGAGGCCAGCAACACAATTTCAGGCCGAGGAAATGCTGGATAGTATGCTAATTTGAAATTTAAATAAATAGTCCTCCTGCCAACGTGAATAGATCTGCATTGTTTATTATATTGTGTCATTAGAATAAAAAAAATAATTTGATAAGGGATTATGTTTGTCGAAATAAATCCTGAGGAATTAAACAATGCACTATTGCGAAAGCGATTTAAATACACAGTGTCAGTTACTGGGTATAATATATCCTGTTAGTGTTATCTATTATACGTATTTGTATTGTTGATTAAATGTAATAAAAGCCGTAATTGAAAATATCGAGCCAGGCAATTAATAGAATTGCAATTGCATTGTTTTCAAGAGGGAATAGAATATTTTGGAAATAATTGAATAGACAAGAAACATTGATAGTGAAATTCTCACATATAACAGAAAACCTAGATAGTTATCTTGTTAACAGCATGAAAAGCATTCAATTACAAGCATTGGTAACCCTAATCTAGCAAGCCAAACTTTTTAATATGTAATCCCCAGTTCATTTATTGGTCTTAATTGGTTCAATTTATTCGGTACTGGTGTACATGAGCATTAGCATTTTAAAATGATCAGGCAGGATTTTTAAAAGGATAAGAGTTTCAAAATAAATATGCAGCTTTTTATTATTGCTCCAGTATGTTTAATCATTGTAGGTTTCTTCTTGACATAATAAAATCCCTTTCGACTAGAATAGGCTCCTTGCATCAAATTTTTTTATTGCTGATTTCGATAGTCCATGAAAAATAAGTTAACATGTGTTTTATCTTTTTCTTCTTAGTCAAAAATTGACGGAGATACAACACTATGAAATCTGCCTATGACGTCACTTATCTAATAAATTCGTGACGTTGCACATGCTCAGTATATCCAACCGACCAGAAATTTCAATAGTGTCAGTTCAATGTAATATCAAAATTTTATTTATGCGAATTGAACTTTCTATTCTTGAAAATCAGACACCCAAATAGTTCCATTTAAAGCTATTTCATCGAAATTGTCAAATTTCTACGATAGATGGAATGGGTGATGTATATTTTTCTGCTTGCATGTGATTGCACTTTCCCGATGCCATCGGGAAAGTGCAATCAGATGAAATATTCTTTTAGAATAAGTAAAATAACTGTGCCAAAACCACTAAATGTTATCATTTATGTTAGAAAAAAATAAAGAAATTGTTAAAATACATGTCTGTATTTAAATAAGAAACCACTCAAACTCTACTAATCAAAAAAATTAAAAAGAGATGTTTTTCCAGATTTCACATCTCGAATAGCATATTCTAGATCTACTTTGTTATATCCTGCTCCTCTTTTAGTTTTTCTGACATAATTTCTAACCATCTGAAAAAAAAGTGAATTTTTCTTATCATCCACATTAAAACTCTAATCGGGAAAGTGCAATCATATGTTGATTGCATTTTACCGCTAGATAATGATTGCATTTACCCCAGGTGCACATTTAATAGGGTAAGTGCAATCATATAAATAAACAAAAGGCCTAATACAATAATCGATTATATCATATATATATATCATCTTCGATTGTTTTTTTTTTTGAAGACCCGATATAATCAGTTACTGTGTAACTTGTTGGATTCCTTCAGTTTCTGTATGCATGTCGATCATGCCACTGTGTCTATTTGACCCCATATCTACGACTGGTTCAAGATGGGAACTCTTCCAATTACAATTTTAATGTGACCGCAATATTTGCTTCTCAGTGTAGTCCTCAACATTTTTAAATCTACTTTTTGGTTTCTCCATTTCTAAGTCAATTAGGTGCATATTCATGCTTTTTGTAAACCATTTTTCTTAATTGATTTTCTATTCCTGTACTAACAGTAGTCTCCGTTAAGCTGGCCCCCCCGAATTGATTTTTTTCTTTAAAACGCTAGCACACGATCGTTAGAGCTAGCACAAGCTGTTGTAGAGCTAGCACAGTCATAGTAACAAAAATATATCCTAGTTAGTGCGGGGGGGGGCAGGTTAACGCTAGCCCCCCCCCGCATTGTTTCAAGGCGCCATAAAGCTAGCACAGCTTCTTTGGAGCTAGCACAGGCTAGCACAATAAAAAAGAATGCTAGCACAACTATTCGTTCTAAAATAATAAGGCACAAATGCGGGGGGGGGCAAGTTTACGTTTGGGATTTTTTGGGATTTGGCCATGAAAACTGTTATGGAAACTTGGTAAATAGCTAGCGCAACCTAGCACAACCATTTTCAGATCAATCAGAGTTTTGGAAACGAAGTTATTCCCTAATTTATGCAGGGGTGGGGAAAGTTAACGCTATTCTCTTCCTTGACCGTTTCTAAGTCGCTTTAATGCTGGCACAGCTTCATTTGCGTTAGTACAGCCTAGTACAACAAAAAAAAAATGCTGGTACAAGTAGGTATACTTTCATGATAATTAGGCCATAATTGGGGGCGTGGCGGTTTTCAACCTTTGGGGATCTTTTAGGGATTTGTCATAAGAACGGTTATAGAACCGTGGTTAGTAGCCAGCGCAACGTTATAGCCTAGCACGTTCATTTTTCAATCAACCCAAAATTTAAATATAGAAATTATCCCCTAATTTATGCAGGGGTCGGGATAGACCTCTATCGCTTTACCCTTTCTCGTCCGTTTTTAAGTTGCTTTATTTACTTTTTAATCAATCATTTACATACCTATAGTATTTTCAAAGTCAATTGGAACAAGGTTGGTGGCTAACTGGTCACTGATAATGTTCATGAGAAATGCACTGCCACTAGTCTGCCACCAGTTATACGATTTACTTTTACCTTGTTCAAATTGACTTTGGAAATATGGGGTGTCCCAATAGAAAGTGACCAATTTTAAATGCTTATAACTTATTTATGCATGTAAGCCCTTGAAACCGGTCAGTTTCTATTGGGACACCCTGTACTATAACTACCTACTTTTTATTTGAAGAAATAATGGGAAGTTATTTTTGTTTTTTTAATTGAAAATGTACGTTTAGCGTTTATTGGTGGCAATTAAATTATTACCATTGAAAATGTTTATATTATCGCACGGGCACGTAGTATGGGGTACGAAATTCGAAATTCTTGTGTTGCATTTGTCCCATAGGTACGTCACAGAGACGGGGAAGGGATACGAAACGCCGCTGCTCGCAAGCAAGATTGAGCGGTGTTGCCGGATGATTTTTTTCAAAATTTTAAATGGTATTAATGCCATATTAGGCAATGGTTAGTGAAAAGAAGAAGTAGGTAATAGTATATTATGCAATCAACGGTACGAACTGCCCCGAACGGTTCTCATTGCTCCGAACAATTCAAAACTGCTCCGAATAATTCAGAACTGCTCGGAACAGTTCCAACTGACCAAACAGTTCAAATTCTCCTAAACAGTTCGAGCTGCTCCGGACAGTTCAAACTGCTCCGTACAGTACAAACTGCTCCGTACAGTACAAACTGCTCCGAACCGTTAAAAAATTCGAACTGCTCGGAACATTTCGAACTGCTCCGAAAAGAGAGACGTTCCGAAAGAGCTGCTTTGAACAAAACTAACCCAAACAGTTCAAACTAATTCGAACTGCTCCGAACGGTTCGAACTGTGCTCCGAGCAGCTCAAAACTTTTCCGAACAGTTCGAACTGTTTCGTTGCAAGCAGAGGTGCTCCGAACAGAGCTGCTTTGAACGGTTCGAACTGCTCCGAACAGTTTAAACTCTTCCAAACGGTTCAAACTACTCCGAACAGTTCGAACAGCTCAAAACTGCTACTGTTGGCAACTAATTTCGCGCACCGCAATATGGCGTCCAAACAAAAAGGCAATTTAGAATCATGACGGGAAGCGCTATGTTGCCAGTTCTTAGTTTTATGGCATAGCGTGGCGGTACTAGGCGCCATTTATTATTTAGTGGTTTTTTACTTCAGTGACAACGTGGCGACAACCGTTTTTCGCTTTTAACTGTGCGTTTTATGTTTGAGTTAGTTTACATTAGGTCCAAGCGGAGCAGATCGAACTGTTTGGAGCATTTCGAACTGTTTGGAGCAGTTCGAAGTGTTCGGAGCAGTTTAAACTGTTTGGAGCAGTTCGAACTCTTTGAAAGAATTTGAACTGTTTGGAGCAGTTGGAACTGTTCCGAGCAGTTCTGAATTATTCGGAGCAGTTTTGAATTGTTCGGAGCAATTAGAACCGTTCGGGGCAGTTCGTACCGTTCATTGCATAATATACTATTACCTACTTCTTCTTCTCACTAACCATTGCCTAATATGGCATGCATGCCATTTAAAAATTTTTAAAAAATCATCCGGCAACACCGCTCAATCTTGCTTGCGAGCAGCGGCGTTTCGTATCCCTTCCCCGTCTCTGTGACGTACCTATGGGACAAATGCAACACAGGAATTTCGAATTTCGTACCCTATACTACGTGCCCGTGCGATAATATAAACATTTTCAATGTTAATAATTTAATTGCCACCAAAAAAAGCTAAACGTACATTTTCAATTAAAAAAACAAAAATAACTTCCCATTATTTCTTCAAATAAAAAGTAGGTAGGTATAGTACAGGGTGTCCCAATAAAAACTGACCGGTTTCAAGGGCTTATATGCATAAATAAGTTATAAACATTTAAAATTGGTCACTTTCCATTGGGACACCCCGTATTTCCAAAGTCAATTTGAACAAGGTAAAAGTAAAAACTGGTGGCAGACTAGTGGCAGTGCATTTCTTATGAACATTATCAGTGACCAGTTAGCAACCAACCTTGTTCCAATTGACTTTGAAAATACTATAGGTATGTAAATGATTGATTAAAAAGTAAATAAAATAAAGCAACTTAAAAACGGACGAGAAAGGGTAAAGCTATAGAGGTCTATCCCGACCCCTGCATAAATTAGGGGATAATTTCTATATTTAAATTTTGGGTTGATTGAAAAATGAACGTGCTAGGCTATAGCGTTGCGCTGGCTACTAACCACGGTTCTATAACTGTTCTCATGACAAATCCCCAAAAGATCCCCAAAGGTTGAAAACCCCCCACGCCCCCAATTCGGAGGAGATACTTACTCCCGAGCAGTCCAAGCTCATCCAGCTGACCCTAACCCGGAAGATGGCCAAAACTGCCAGGGTTCTACTGTGGGTCTCTATTGAGAGACCAGCCGAGCAGTCGTGATCCGAGGAGGACGAACTGGAAGGATTATGTGGAAGTTCTGCTTACTAACTGCAACCAGGTCAAAACTGATATTAAAAACGCCACTGATATAGAATTGGCAGCTAGTAAACTACAGGAGGCTATAATCAACTCTTATCAGAACAACTGTCCCCTGAGAAAGCAAAACTCCAGAAAAAATACCTCCTGGGTGGAACAAAGAACTTTCAGATCTCAGGTCGAAAAACGAAAGCTGTACAACAGAGCGAAAAAAACGGACAGGTGGGACGACTACTACTCCACCTTAACCATGTACAATAGTCAGATCCGAAAGGCAAAAATCGAATCATGGAGGAAGTACTGCCAAGAGGTTAAAAACCCCAAGGTAGCAGCGAGACTCCAAAAAATTCTGTCCAAAGATCCTTTATATCCAGTTGGGACCCTTAAAAAACCAAATGGCACCTAGTCTACACAGATTCTGGAAGAGAAACTTTGCAAATTCTACTGCACACTCACCTCCCAGAATCAGTCAAAATCATAACAGAAAAAAACTTACCAATTTAAAGTAATCACAAAATCCAGACTACTACCACCATTTCTAAAACACAAATAGCCACTGCGATTTTAATTTTTAAATTTATGTATACGAAATATCGATACCTGCTGTATTCAAGTAACAAACATAAATGATAATGAAAATGAACATCTTTGGTTGAAAATATTATCATTTTTTTTAATGAATTGGTAGATAAACTTTTTAGGGACCGATTTATTTTAAATTTATCTCTCATATTGATAATTTATGAAAATGAGTTTTGGCCAGGTTTTTTTAAATCTGCCGCTTTGTGTGGCCCTACATCAACTGGTGGCAAGAATAGAGCGCAGAAATGATAAAAAGGAGGTAGCCCTTGCAGCATTCCTCAACATAGAAGGGGCCTTTGACCGTACCTCATTGGAATCTATGAACGCTGTTTTGTCCAGAATCCAGACACGGAGTCACACACACCATCAGCAGATGGATTGATAACATGCTTTGTGGAAGACAAGTTCTACAATAAATAATGATACAGTGGAGATGTCGGTATCAAAAGGCTGGGGGGTCCTATCCCCTAGTGTGGAATCTGGTCATAGGCGAACTCCTAGTAGACCTTAATAATAGAAATATTTATACGCAGGGTTACTCAGATGATGTAGTAACCGTAGTCATGGGGAAAAACCTACAAACTACTTCTGTGAAAATGCAAAGAGCGCTTAAAATCGTGAAGGACTGGGTTAAAGGAGCAAACCTGAGTGTCAACCTATGGTGTCAACCCTTAGAAAACACCTATAATCCCCTTCACGAAAAGAATAAAACTGGACGATCTAGTCCCTCCCACTTTCTTTGGAAAGCAATAACAATTCGTTCGGGAAGTCAAATACATAGGAATTATCCTGGATGCAAAACTGACATGGAATGCCCATATTATACGCCACTCACAAAGGTAAAATGGCGCTTATGGCCACCAAAAAAGCAGGAGAAACATGGGGATTTCTACCCTACATAGTATATTCCATCTATACAGTAGTGGTAAGACCCAGAATAACCGGGGCGGATCAATAGTCTGGTGGCCAAAAGTCGAACAGAGCAAAGCAATAATGGAGCTATCCAAACCTCAAAGACTAGCTTGTCTCTGCATAATGGGTACAATGAGAAGCACTCCAACTGCTGCTATAGGAACCATACTAAACCTCTCGCCACTTGATATCATTCTAATCAAAGCTGAGGGAAAAATAGGGGCTTACAGAATCAATTGTAGCCAGAACTGGAATCCGAGTAGAACATTCGGACATACCAGGATATCAAACATTGTTACAAACTCACTATTTGAGATGAGAAGTGACATCATTACCCCGAGAATAAATACGCACAAACCGTTTCAAACCCAAATTAACTAGAAAACAAAACAGAAAACTAACTAGTCCAGAATGGAAAGTACCAAAACCGATAATGGAACCATTGCCGGAGTATATGGCCTATCCCCAAGATCAAAATGGTTTTGGTGTGGGACTGCTCGCTCCTTTTAACCCTAGCCAGCCATAATAAGGTAACTCTTGCCTTACGTGGGTGCCGAGGCACACAGGCGTTGCTGGGTAAGGATCAGAAAGGTAGTTTATGGGCCCTGAACCCGCATTTGGAATATGAAAAACCTCGATACGTGCGGCTGCTTGGACAAGTGGATTCGAGAGGAACACAAAAACCACTGGAATCAAATACCGAGGCAACACCACAGTAAGGCAATGGTAAACTATCCTACAACAAGATTAGCTTCTGAGATCCTAAAGCTCAGGAGGAACCAGATCAGAATTGTGACAGGACTGTAAGCCGGTCACTGTACACTGAGGAAACACCTACACAAGATGGAAATCTACCAAGATGAACCCATATGTAGATTGTGCGACGAGGACGAAGAATCAGCCTCAAACATCTTATTCGAGTGCCCTGCACTAGCTTACTGGAGAACCCGACACCTCTTGGAGGAGGAATCTGTCCAGGAGGAGGGTCCGCTAAAGTCGCCAATAAAGAGGCTACTACAACTGAGAAGGTGTCGAACCTATTTTAGCAGAAATTCACACATCAAGGGAAACAATAAGCTAACTATCTGCAGTGTCAGAGAATCACTAAACCTTGCCTTGCTGCCGTCAATCAAATCAATCAATCAACAGTAACAAGCCAGTATACCTAAAAATCATTGAATGTATTATATTTTCTCTTTTCAATAAACAAATAATAGGTAGGTACCACAAGATAACTGATACCTATCTTTAAAATATGCAGAGTGGCTGAATTTCATTACGATTCTTAAGCTAACATTATCGCACACGCAAAAAGCACATAGTTCCACAACAGAACATTGACATTAACCGTAAAATTACGCACCATACAAGTATCAGGCTCGGGAGGAAGGAAAATGTCAACACCATTGTTTAAATCGAGGTTAACAAAGAAAGGTCGATACAGTAGAGTTAGCATCACTATAATAATATGTTATGTAGTATATAAATTATCCTAATGCTTTATTTGCTCGTTTTAGTATTTCTACTAACTATGAATTTTATTGATTGATTAGTAGTTATTCCTAGAAAAATTTGACTTTATTTCAATTTCCTAGGAGTTGCTAATCCTATTTATTGTTTGTGTTTTTTGTTATCAATTAGATATCTGAACCAATTTCTAGGATAATTTTTTCAAAATGACTCATTATACCTAGTGATGAGATTGATGGATATGCTGCAGATTGAGAAATCAGAAATATTTTTGATCATTTCCGAAACTTGATCCGTAGATTTGAAGTAAACAATACTTGATAGTCAACATGAAAATCTAATAGATTATTCCCATATAATATTTGAAAATGATAAAGTCAATAATAAACTTTTTTTAAAATACATTTGCCTTATCAGAGCGTATATTTGCAATTGAATATCTCGTTAATTCCAGTGAATTGTAGATAAAACAATAGCACTCCTAGTTTTGAACTAAGTCTGCAGAAGCTTATTAAATTTAAAAGCAATAGAAGATTTCATTATGAATGACTTTGGCAGAAAGTCGACAAACAAAGTCACATAACCTATAAATAGCATTGTCAATGTTATTAATTTTTTTTTCAATTTTGGGCTTAAATTTAATAATTAAGGCAGTTTTGGGAGAACGTGATACGTTTTATGGAGAGGCGATGAAGCGATGTGTGTTTGGTGATTGTAAAAGTGATAGTCGAACGAGTTCCATTAAATTAACGACCCCATTTGCCTCTACTGGAGTTTTAGGTAACACAGCACCTGTCACATCACTTTCTGTTAATTTTATCAAACGTTTTGCAACCAAATAAGCCATAGCGAATGCACCGAATACTTACGAAAGCGTAGATTTGACAAGATGCTGTGTTACCTTAAACTCCAGTGGAGGCAAATGGGGTCGTTAATTTAATGGAACTCGTTCGACTATCGCACTTTTACAATCACCAAACACACATCGCTTCATCGCCTCTCCATAAAACATATCACGTTCTCCCAAAACTGCCATAATTATTAAATTTAAGCCAAAAATTGAAAAAAAAATTAATAACATTGACAATGCTATTTATAGGTTATGTGACTTTATTTGTCGACTTTCTGCCAAAGTCATTCATAATGAAATCTTCTATTAATCATCATGGGTTTTACATAGTCAAATAATTGTAGTATAAAGTCTACACAGCCGAAAATAATTACATTTTTCCACTTACCAGACATTAAAATATCCTTTGGCGAAATCCAATCTATGAACATGTTGGTTAAGTTATACAATCCTGCCATTCCAGCTGCTCTAAATTCCGCGCTGCTATTATACGTAGACTTATCTTCGTAATCGGTATAGGTGACATTGTCATTTAATGTCAAAACTGCTATGTCCAAGTTTTCGGTGATCTTTTTGATTTTGGTTGCAAAGGTGACTAGAAAGAACAGAGATAAAAGTAAAATAGACTGTTGCTATATAGTTTAATGATGATGAGTGTCATGTTTTAAGCTGCAAAGAATAGAAAAGCGATCCGAGATATTCTTGTAAGTTTGAAATAAAATACACACAGCGTCAAAAAACTTGAACCCTCTATATAAAACCAAACCTAAGACCTTTATCAAAATAATTTTTTGTTAGAAAAAATCTCGTATAAAATGCTGTTTTTTATCAAAAATTAAAAACGCCAAAAAAATCTTGTCTCTATCTTCAACTATAGCATTTGTTAAAAATTGTCAGTTTCTTGTAAATCTCGAAAAGTATAGGATGCTTGTTCAAAAATGTCTGGATATCGAGTTTCCGGTTTTGATGGAGCCAGATTAATCACTTTACAGTCAACACCAACAAGACTGGTCAAATCATAGGATTTCAGCGAGACTTGGCATTCCCCGATCGTCTGTCATCAGAATAGTGCAATGGGCTCTTTCACTAATTTTTGAAATTGGCATATTTGGATAAAGCAACTAAAAACAGAATTTTCTGTATTTTTACTTTTGAAAAATTCATAGTCCTTCTTGAGAAAACAGAAAAATAAGAAATACCTCCAAATAAAAACTCAGAATTTATTTCTATGACGTCGCAGCTCGCAATTTGACCGTGTTGCCACTAATTGTCAACATTGAAAATTTGTAATAGATTTAATTCTGAATGTTGGAAAAATATCATAAAAAGTAGTTCAATTAATTAATTATGGATTCAAGATTTTATAACATTTTTTTTGAAATTATGCTTAAATACAATTTAATACAATTTTTTATGTTTCGTTTTATTTTATTTTTTTACGCTGCACTACATTCAGTCACAACCGACAACAGCGCATTCGAACCTTTACGTATACTTGCTGTACTTTTACAGAGCGCAACACAGCCGAGCCGGTCAGCTTCTTGCAACAACATGAGCGAAATGGAAAATATTTATGTGACGTCAGCGAATCGGCGCGTTTTAAATCAGTTTGAATTTGGCAATTTTCAAATGCCTGTAAAAAACTTATTTAACGTTGTAGAACATTTTTTTTTGGTATATATGCCTAAAATAGTCCCTCCTTCGGGATTTTATACTTAAATTACGTATTTAAATTTTAGTGAAAGAGCCCATTGTTCCAAGAAACTGGAAGTGTGAATAGAAGACCTGGTAGTGAGCATTCTCGTGATACAGACAAAAGTGAGGATCGATATTCAGCCACTTTTGTTCGACATAATCAGAATATCAGTGTCACAGCGATAAGAACGCTTTTCAGACGAACGTACGGTAGACTCATTTCCAGGCCTACAAGTCAACGAACGCTGGCTGGTGCCAAATTGCCATCGAGAAGACCCTTGAGAAAGCCTAGGCTTACTAGAGCTTAGAGTGGAGCCATAATCACAGAAACTGGCTTTTACCTCAATGGAGACATGTCCTTTTTTTATGACGAGTCCCGATTTGGAAATTTGGACTGGCAAGTGACAGCCGCCGTGTAAGGGTATGGTCGGTATGGACGCGCAGCACGTTTGGCCTTTCCTCAAGAAGTGGCTCCGTATCAAGGAGAGACAGTTATGTTTTGGGGTTATTATGCATGGGTTCATGGGTACCGCACTCCTCTTATCCACATACCACGGGTACTGACGGGAAACATCTACCTCGAAAATGTTATCAGGCCAATTGTTCTACCCCGGAGAAATGAATTTAGGCCAAATTTTGTTTTTATGGATAACAACGCTCGCCCACATCGCACTAGACGCATCCAAAACGTGTAAGCTGAATTTAATATCGAGAGAATGAAATGGCCTGTAAACTCGCCGGAGATGAACCCGATTGAGCACGAGCTTTCCAAAGGCATATTAAGAATACCAAACCCACCGAAAACCCTTCAAAAGCTGAATGTGGCGGCACAGGAGAAATGGGACAATATTCGCAAGAACAGATAGAGATTCTGATTCTCTCAATGCCAAAGCGGGTCAATGCGTGCATCGAGAACAGAAGAGATCACACTGATTATTGATGTTGTTACTTTTTATTCATGAGTTAATTTTTTTGGAACTAAAAACTTCAATAAATAGAATTTTAGGACCCTCGTTAGGACCTAATTTTGTTTTTCTTATTTTTTGTAGAACCTAAGAACAATACGTGAATAAGTTGGTAACAGAATAGCGTTTTTTATGACATAGGAATGTACAGTGTGTCCCATTTTGGTTTTCCATAAGAGACAACTCGGTTGCTATCGGAGTTAGAAGGACGCGTATTCCGCGAACGTTGGCTACTTTTCTGTCAAACGAAAGATGGCGCCAACACAATTGTCGTCGCGCTCTTCTTGTTTTTCAGATACATCGTGTTTTTGAAAAAGTTGCATTTTGGAACTCCCTCCCCTTGTATCTCGGTTCTCTCATAAATGATCGGAGAGGAGACAATAGATTCTTATAGATATTTTTACATAGCTTCCAGTAGCGTAGTTAGTTTTTCTCTAGAAGTGATTATTTTTAAAATTATGAACCAAACATACGTTTTTTTCAAATGCAAGATACAAGGGGTGTCCCAAAATGCAACTTTTTCAAAAACACCTTGTATCTGAAAAACAAAAAGAGCTATGACAATTCTGTTGGCGCCATCTTTCGTTTGATAAAAAAGTAGCCAATGTTCACGGAAACCGCGAAACTGCATCCTTCTAACTCCAATAGCAATCGAGTTATCCCCACTGATCTAAAAAATAAATGGATAAACAATTCATACTGCTTGATTGGCAAAATTTGTGCGAAAATTTGGGGTCAATATTCTACGAACAGTTGTGCAACGGAACAGCCTAACGCCTGCGCAATGTCTTATCTTTCGAACAACTGTTCTAAATTTTGAAATTCCTTCATTTTCATTGGCCAGTCAGTGGTTTTCGTTTAGATTTTGACCTCGTAAATTAGCAGCATTAGAAGCGTTCTTTGTTTATCCATTTATTTTTGAGATCAGTGGTTATCCCACATGGACAACCAAAATGGGACCCACTCAATAATTTGCTTGGGTATTCTTGTATCTGCCATTCTTTGTACATGTCCGAACCAAATCAGCTGTTTGTCCTTTATATCATCCACTATTGTGTGTTTTACGTCCATAATATGCCTTATTCTCAGATTTGTTATCCTTTCCATTTTTGACCTGCCTGCCGATTAAGATTAAGCTGGCACACTCTAGTTCTAGTTGGATAAGGTCGAATCTTTGAGAATCTAGTACCTCATATTTAGTGCTAATTTAGTGCATTCATGGCACGGGCAAGCCTAAAAAACTAACAATGTTCAATTTATTACGAAATAACCACGGAAAAGTGCTAACTTAAGACTTGAATTAGCACATACATACATCAAATCAACCGCGCGAGAACGGAATTCGCATGCACATATTTGGTGCTAATTTAGTACTTCAAAAACGACGACCCGTACGAATTAGTATCACATCAACACAGAGCTAGCACTTGTATGCTGGCTTAGTGTTTAAGTTAACGAACATTATTACCGATGACGCGATGAAACTAGAGTACTTAATTAGCACACATTTAGTGCTTATTTCGGACGTTAGTTTGGGTTAGTAGCGCTGTCGATTCGATGTATGTGTGATAATTCAAGTCTTAAGTTAGCACTTTTCCGTGGTTATTTCGTAATAAATACCATTGTTAGCTTTTTAGGCGTGCCATGAATGTACTAAATTCTAAATTAGCACTAAATATGACGTAGGTATTAGATTTTCAAAGATCCGACCTTATCCAACTAGAGTTTGCCAGCTTAATCTTAAGCTGACACACATGCACATAATTTTTTAAAAAATAGAGCTATATTTTTTTTTTCGTACTAAATTAGCACTAAATAGGCCCGAATTTACTACTCTATTTTTTTTGATTTGTGCCATTTTGGTTGTGCTAATTTTTGAGACCTTATATATGTGACTATGCTTTTGACTATGGGTATTGTATATTCTATGTATTCAGTACATTGTTTTATTTCTTGTCCGTTATTCAATTTCAGAGTTCATTGTTCACTTCCTATAGTCATATATTCTGTTTTAGTTAGATTTATTTCCAAACCCCATTTCTCGTATTCCTCTATCAGTTTTCGTGTCATGTAGTATCATAGTATCATAGTCTCGTGCAATTACCACTTGATCATCTGCAAAGCCTAAAGTATATAGATTGTATTCATTGAGCGGTATAAAAATTGGTGAATTATTCAATCTTTCATATCTATACTCTTCTACTACTTATTTTATTGACAATTACAAGTCAATCTATCATATTAGTCTAGTTGCCAAACCATTATATTTTATGTGAACCCAAAATTATGGTATTAAGTTTGTTTTTATTTCTGAATTAGTAAGAGGACATTTGAACTGCAAGAAAATCAAGGATGACATCCCGGCACCTTTGGGCAGCTCGATATATTTGTGGGCGGCCAATATGGTGTCTATAAGTAATTACTTCAATTTTATTTTTATATAACTAATATTTTACGCTCCCTCTGTTGCTTGGTGGACGGGTTATGTACTCCGACGGCTCAAAAACGGCAAACGAAGTAGGGGCAGGGATATATGGAGAACAACCTTGAACAACTCAAGATGAATGTCAGTATATTACTGGGGAATGAGATCACTATATCAAGCAGGGTCCTTATTCTTGAAACAGGGGAGCAGCGTTCCCAGGAGAACAAGTGTTCCGTCTTTCTCAATAACATGCACATGACAATATACGTAACAAAGACGGAACACTCGTTTACTTGTAACGCTGCTCCCCTTTGTTTCAAGAATAAGGACCCAGAAGTCTTCGCTATACATGATTGCATCCAAGAAAGCACTATTCGAGGATGTAAAAACTAAAATGTAGCTATTCTCACAGGTAGCCAAGCAGCACAAAAGCAACGGATTCCTATTGTATCACTTCCCGAATGACGATGGAGTGCCTCACTGACCTGAAGCAGCTTGCCAAAGAAAACAAGGATAGACTCCTATGGGTTCATGGCCACTCAGGGATAGAGGGCAACGGAAAAGCAGATGGGCTGGTGAGAGCTGTTCACAACGCCATTCATAGGCCTATAGTTTTGGAGTATCCATCCAATTGGTAAAGTCAACACTAGATAAATGGTCGGAAAGGCAACATTTTTCTGGTGCAGATAACATGCGTCCCTAATTCGTGGCTAGAAATTGAGGCTAACTTTAGGCAATATTACCAGTTGTATTTTCTATCCTACTTAGTTTTTTTAGAAAATCAATCAGTAGCTATCTAAATAATTGAGAAAAAATAGTCACAGAGACGCCTTTTACCAAATACTAAATAGAACATTTAAAACTTCAGGATATCCATTATTTACGTGAAATATAATAAAATAGGTGATTCAAATAAATTATGACAAATTGTGAGTCACAAAGTAAATACACACTGAGATTTGTTGAAAGATTGTATATTTGATCTCATAAGTCTTGTCAAATTAACAAATAAATTCTGCATCACCAGAGTTTATGAATAAACCAAAATTTAGGTATTATTTTCAAGGAACAAAAACCAAACTAATAATAATGTTTTCAATTTCAACTCTACATATTTTGATTTTGAAAATATTTCCCGACATGTACTTATGTGCTTTATTTAAAAAAAAAAAATATGTTTATGTATTTGGTAGGTCAAAGACCCATAAAAAGTAATTAAAAAACACTTATAGTTCTTACCTCCTCCATCAGAAAACTGCACTGCCAAAAACAAAAACAGACACGTTACAAGTAAACTGACAAGGTTCACCGATTGTCTCTTCTTCCATCCTCTGCCCTCCATGGCCCCAATTCTAGGACGTTTTCTTCGTTGGCAAATCGAATCCTCACAAAACAGCTTGCACTACTAATACCCTGAAGGAATCCCTCATAATAATAATAATTGTTTTGTCACTTCATTGTGATCAAAAAGTTTGGGAAGAGATTATTAGATAAGATTAAGGCTTATCTGTATCAATAGCTTTGGTGGTATTTTTATTGAGCAAAGATAAGGGTTTTTTTGCTAGGTTTGATTGGCAGTCATGGCTTTGGCACTGGAAATCTGTAACAAAGAAAGAGAAATTTCAAATCAATCAATTTTAAGTATTCGTTTTTTGGAAAATATTATTCTTCACTCCACTTGCAACCCCAAAACTATTGTGTCAGTACAGGACTAACATCATGCAGAAGTTTGAAATGTCCTTCATTCAACACATTTTGTGGTTATTAAAAGATGACTAAACACACTGTGACCTGTGACTGTGCACTTCCTTTCTTTGGTTTTTTTCTTCTTGCTTATACTGAGACGGAAATACCCTAGACAGGGGATTTCTAAAAATATTATGACTAATTATTCTAATATGGATTATTTTGTTTTGGAATGTACTAAAACAAAACACAGTAAAAATCAATTTTAGCGATTAAATGCGGGTACGATGTGGGTCGATTAGTATGTTGCTTCCTTATGTTATTAAAACTACAGTTTTGATTATAAGAAAAAAATAGTGATAAAGCTTGTTTCAATGATCTGTTGCACTGAAATCTGTGTCGTTGACCCAGTTGTGGTGTGAGTATTTGAAAGTTATCAATAAAATGATAACAAAAACAAAGAGACTTTAAAGCTGAAACAATTCGTTTTAAATGTATCTTGCTTCTTAATTTTTTACTCAGTTGAAGAGATGATTTTAATTAAGATTTCTTCAAGAGAACAAATCGGAAGTAATCGAAATGTATAGACTTAAAAAATCATGTACATACATTCACCATTAATTTCTTTACATTATCTTCAAGATAGAAAGTTTTTCTGTGGCAGCAAAGAAAATACATATACTTAAAGCGAATCTTTACATTGACTCATAATGTAAATTTTTATAAGATTTTCTAAATGTAATTTAAAACTACCTGTATTTTGAGAAACTAGGTTGTATAACATTGCCAATAAGGAATTCCTGTAGCATTCTCCTGAATTTGTCGAATAAAGTAGATTTCTTCCGGTCGTGTGGCAAATGATGCAAATATTTATTGAGAATATAAACATAACTAATCTTAAAGATTAAATAATTATGATTCATAATAAAAATACATCAAAGATAAGCTACACAATAATTCCATAACAAACAAAAAAAGTGTCTTCCACAATTCTGGTGAAAGTCCTACTGATAAAAATAGTTATGAAAAATACTTGAATATTGACTATTAAAATTCAAAATATATTTCTCTGTTTTTCGAAATAATGTATTCCAGTTCCAAGAGCAGATATCAAGCCAGTGTGGCAAAAGTACAATTATAGTCATCTATACACACTTTCGCAGATAGTGAACCAAAGTGGTCTACTTTGTTTTTGAACATTCATGTTGGAGGCGATAACAGTTTCCTCTGTTAGCCAGTTCCATGGATATACACCACTCAATTAGAGATGAAGTTTCTTCTGGGGAGTTTAGCACAACTCTCCTTGGACAATTGAACCTGGTAAATGTTAGGCTGAAGTGCATTTACTTAAGGTTTTGAAAGTCTCTTTGAGGTCCATTCTCAGTCTTTTTTCTCTTAAAATTGGGAGATTGAATATTTGCAATCGTTCTCCAAGTGTTTCGTTTCTGGTGGGATAATTATAGCTCGACTCTGAACTTTTTTTAAGACTCTATATCTCTTGTGAAATAGGAGTTCTACAACATTATGCGGGATTCGAGGATTGGTCTCACATGGAACTACACAGCTTCATTAGGTCAGAACCCATTGGCACTCCCAGATCCTGTTGTTCTTCCACAAGTTTTAGTAGTTTAATATTGAGATAGTAATTATGCTATGGGTTAATTTTCCCTAATAACGGCGAGTACACCTACTTTATCAAGCTTTAGTAGCCAGGTTTGTCTCCACGCTTCCAACGAGATTAGGTCATAAGTCAGTGTGTTACTGCTGGTGAGAGGATTTCCAAAAATGTACGTGTCGTCAGTAAAGAATGCCAGGTCTGCAATGTAGAGCAGAAAGAGAACCCTCCGCTAATCTGGCACTAACATCGTAAGGTTTGGTCAATTGCTTTTCAACTCTTACTTTGCAGAATCGAGCTCTCAGAAAATTTCCGATCCAGGTAGGTAATCTTCCTCGTATACTAAGATGCTTCAGTTTTATCAAGAGTCTGGCATGTGGTACCCCTTCAAAAACCTTTTCATAGTCGACATACATATATATGTCCACGGGTGGGTTCTTATCGAAACTTATCGTCCATTGGTTAAGGCATGGTAATAAACTCGTGATTGTTGATCTCCTTATACTCCTATACTTCCATTTTCTAGAAGAAATGTCATTTCCTTAGCAATAACTTTCCATCAGCTTACTGTAATAAATACCATTGTATATTGTATTTTCTTTTTTTTTAAATGGGTATGACCATGTGCAATTCTTCCAGATTTCTGGAAAGTTTCCAGATTCAATAGGGCTTTCCAAGAGTCTGCCAGCGAATCTTGACCAAGGGGTAAACCACTAGTGGAAATTATTGTAAATTTTTTTGTGAATCACATAGTAATCAATCAGGAATACATGGAAATCATTTGGAAGTCCTTGGGAATAACCTGGTAATCGCTTGGTATCTTCTAGGACTCCAGGGGAATACCATAGGTAATCGCTGAGAATCATGTGGTAATCCCTGGAAATATTATCTCATTCTAACCCAGAAATCGCATATCATACATTTTAAACGATACAGCGTATTGGTCAGTTGTGTATATTACTGTATTCGTTTTATACATCGAGTTACACCCAACGTGTCGCTTTAGAGCTTCTCGGACTCACTCCAAAACACACAATTCAGATATCATCATTATTCTTCAATATTAACATAACCTTAAAGGGCTTTTCGCACTCACGCCAACTTGGTGCATCAGGGAAAAGGGGGATGCAATATGAGTGACTCGAGTGCTTAACGCACTTTTAAAAGAAGGTTCAAGCTTTTGACATTGAGCAGCTCCGAGTAACTCAACCGGTAAAAAGAATACAGTATTGGCCTTTAAACTAAGTTTTAGGTCATTGGTTTTAGGCAACATTAGCTCTGTTCCAATCGACATGAGAACCGTTCTAGCACGGTGATTTCCAGTCGATAAATCCATTTGTCAAGTAGGATAAACCTTTAACTTATTGAAAAATAGGTGGGCAACTGAAAATTACTGGTTCTGGAAAGGTTCTCATGTCGGTTGGAACAGAGCTAGTGCTAGACAATTTGAAATGAATTTGATATCCCAACGAGTTTCCTAATAACCGAGCCAATAACTGAACTACGAAGAGTTTAGAACTTGAAGAAGAAGAAGGAGATGAAGATTAGGTCTGTTCTCACAGAAATCACAAACCAATCAGAGCGTTTTTGATTGGTGCAAATCGCCACCAACCAGTTTTTTGACTGTTTTCAACCAATGAAATTTGCTCTGACTGGTTTGTGATTTTTATAATAACAGACCTAAAGTATGACAATGTTGTAGATCATAAAAATGAAAACACGAATCTTGAAACCTCTCTCGAATTCGACTTGCCAAAAGAAGACACAGAATTTCTTCACACATCAGGGTTTAACAATTTCGATTCGCTATAATTAAGAGATTATTCAAGGCTCAACTGTAATTCAGAGAAGCAGGGATGTTTGTCGATCAAGTATTAAGAGTGATGGGAATATCCCTGAGAAAGACAGAAAAAAAAAGTCAGGAATCCAAGACAATAACAACTTGAAAAGGGAAAGTAAAATAAATACTAGGCAGGGCGAGAAGTAGAGACCATAGCATATCTGAATCAGAATTAAAATAAGTTTGTCGAGTGAAACCCTAACTGAAGATGACTCTGATCCAGATGAACATCCTAGTGTAATCAAAGAAATATCCATTATTTTAGATCCATATATTATGCGTTGTAGACACGCAATGCTATCTAGGGCTCAACAACTATTTATACTTACAACAAAATTGGTGTGTGGGTTAGTGAATGAAAAAAATGAATGAAATTAAAAGTTGCTAACTTTTGGAAGAGTTGCGAATACAGAAGTAAGAGACTTCGTTTTCGTAATAAAATCAGCTGAAAATAGGATGATTGTAGGAAATCATCGAGAAAATAAGGTGATCAATTGGGAATGATATAGGAATCCCCAGAAAAAACGGAAATCACTTGGTAATCATACAAAAATATCTGGAAATCATCGGCAGTCAGTCTCAATTCTTGGGATGGGAATACATGAGATTCATTGATCAGTGATTGCCAAATATGGAAATCATTGTAAATTTGTAAGCATCGTGGTTGACCCCTCGATCTTGAAATTTTCGCCGAAATACCGTTGGCATATTGTCCGGGTTAGGGTCCGTCTTCATGGCTATTAATGCTTATTTAATCTTTTCTGGTGTGAAGCAACTATTTCCAGTTCCCCATTAGATCTAGTTGCTGGTATGAGTGAAGGAAGGTCTGTGAAGTTCTCCTCAGTGAAGAATTTACCAAATTGATCTGCAAATAAGTTAGCCACCATTTGAGGATAGAATACAATTTCCTGAGTAGCAAAGTCCTTTAGGATAAACTTTACCTATTTACTTATTTATCTTAATTTGAATGACATACCTACTTAATAAAGGTTTTTTTGTTGTTGTGTCAACTAGTCTTTGAAACCTATGTTAAGAAATTTTGTTGTGTTGACTATACTTCTGGCTTCTAGGTTTAGTTGTAAATTTTAATTTAAGATAGGTTAGCTTTGTCAATAAGATTTGTGTATTCTTGGACAATCAAGCATATTTACTACTACTACTACTTACTAATAGTGCTTACAATTTAGTTAATGATCTTTCGACACATTTGAAGAATTTCTTACCAGACTGCTCCAGCAAATTAATTTCATAATTCGTTTTTGCTCGCCTTCTTTATTGAAGTTTTTGATCTGTTAGTTTGGTCTGTAGGTACTTTCCCTTCCATAAGCATCCCATAACTTTCGTTTTTTTCGAATTTCCTTCATAATTTCTCTATTTATCCAAGGCTTTTGAAAGTTTGTCCTGACGGATGTCTCATGCAGGGTCTCATGTATGGAGTTAGCGATTTCTCGGTCCACGA